TTTAATTAAAACCGCAGAGTCCATTATAAACTTTGAAACTGAGGCCGGGGACCTCACAATTCAACCCGGGAGGTATCTGACAGCATCAGTCAGCTTAGCTTACAGGCACTCGCCTGGTCTACAGTCCTATCAAATTGCATCCAACATAACACAATCCTTCCAATTTAATCACAATTATCAACAATAACTGGAGACAGCTATAAAATAGTGGGCAGCTGCTGGCAATAAAGCCAATAAAATAGAGAACTTGTAAACCAAGACAAATCTATCATAACTAAACTAAAGCTGGGACTACCACAGCCCAGCGGACCTGGCCCACGAGGTCTGGGTCCAAACCTCCTACACCACTCTCCTACCTGGCCCACTGTGGCCCTATCAACCGAGTGGCCTGGTTTGTCGGAGCAGAACCGAGTGCTCTGGTTACTGAGAGGCTTACTATCCACACTCCCCCTACCTAACTGATAATAAACGCACGCTACAACAGCTACTGAGAGATTACCAGACCCATGGATCTACGAAATCCCACCAAACTGTTCCCTTGGGCCCACGTCTTCAGAAACCACCATCTCGACTGTCGAGTGCCACTGCCTTGCTTAACCTTTCTCTTCAAATCGACCCAGATCGCCTGTCTCATCCCTTTCTTGATAGTAGCCTTCATCTCTACATCCGAGAACGGACGACCTTCAAAACGAGAGCGGTTTCTGTCAGCCCAGATTGCAGAGCAGATAACCGCTCTGGCCACCTGGGCTACGTACGCCCAACCTCTCAACCCGGTTCTCTCTTCTGGCACAAAACCCAACAGCACCCACCTCTCATTCCATTCTACGTCTCTTCCTCCCAACTGGTTCCAGTGTCTCTCCCACCACTCCCATACTCTCTTAGAGGTTGGGCAATCCCACCAGACATGTCTGGTGGACTCAAACGGCCAGGTGCAGCGAGTGCAGCCCATACTAACCTCCATGCCCCTGCTAACCAGCCAGACTGACGACAGAGTTACTAACAGGGAGAGCAGCCATAGTATGCCAGCTTGCTTAGGGTTGGGGAGTTCCAATAACGTCCTCCACAGCTTCCTGAACTTCCCCTCTTGACCCTGTAAGTCGTCCACCAGTACCGCACTCCATCTAGTAACTGCTACCGAGGCCGGCAATCTAGTTCTCTTGTCCTCTCTTCTGTCGGATTCGCCCACCGAGAAAGACGCCAAGTCCATGGGACCCGCGTTACCGCCAGACCATTGCCATGCCACAGGATCTATCATCAGATCCCTGAGAGGTGCTCTGCCGACCCAGCGGTACAGCGTTTTGTCCCTCCCAGTGACTGTGCTCTCTACGACCCTGATCTGTGGGGGTTAGTCCAGCTTTTCACCTCTTCTTCCCCCACATGGAACAGCTTGGAGGAAGGCCTCTCTTCGACGTTCCACACCTGGACTCTTCTGAACCCGCTTGCAGTGATGCCTTGGACCTTCCATACTGACTCTGTGATCCCCTGGGCAGGCGGGAGGTACCATGTGCCCACTGGGTCTACCCCCTCTGGACCCAGCCTCTGTCTCCAGGGTGGCGGAATTGCTGCCAGCAGACTTTCCCAGTTTTGCTCAACTCTCCGAAGGTTATGCAGTTGAGCTTTAACCTCTGCGAACGGGCGCCAAGTGCCCAGCAAATCGGACCATAAATCACGAATCTGGGTGATTCCTCGTCGAATCCAGGCCAAGCCAAATGCTGCAGCCTCCGACCCAGCAGAAAAAGTGAGTCCCTGCTCATCTCTGATAGCTGGATTCTCGAAGAGTGGTTGGAGGAGGACTTCCTCCCTTGTACCGGGCTCTGTGTGAAGGTCCGGTGGATGGTCTTTCCAAGCCTTCCGGATAGCTTCCCGGAGCTCAGACTTCAACCTCTTGTTCATGAAGGAGCGCATGAAGAAACAGACCCACACGTCTGATGGCCTCGAGAGTTCCCACTCCTTCATCAAGATGTGCTCTGCCAGCAGTAACCAGTCTTCTCTCAGGTCAGTTGTGGCCACATTAGCTATCCATTTCCTCAACTGCGCACCGTTCTTCCTATGCGGGTCAACCAGCCCGAGCCCACCTTCCTCCCTGTCGAAGGTAACCAATTCCCATGCCACTTTGGTCATGAACCCCTCGTCTCTCCCTGCCTTAGGTTTCCATAAAAATCTGGCCACCAGCCTTCGGATTGCTGTTAAGATTGACGAAGAGATTTCCCTTACCGTGCCCACAAACCACAGAAGAGCCCAAAGCGCCACGTTGACCACCAGGGCCCGTCCAAAGATTGACAGGTGACCGACCGGACCCCATACTTGGAGGCGAGCAGCGATTCTCTGTTGCAGAATGAGGCCTTGCACTGAGCCCATCACCTGAAGGCTGATCATGACGCCTAGGAACCGTTCTCCGGAGGAACTAACCACCCTTTTCATGCCCCACTCAACCTGCAGCGAGTACACCTCCGGGAGAATGAAAGTTGACTTGGACCAGTTCACTAGGGCTTCCGAGAGGAAGGAATACTCCGAGAGGACCGCTTTCAGCGCATTAAGAGACGTCTCCGTGTTCTCTAACACAACGGACAGATCGTCAGCTAGTGCCTTCACTCTACATTCTCCACCATCATCTGTAAGTCTAATGCCCCTGATCTCTGAGTGTCTCCTGATCTTGTTGAGGGGAATCTCCAACTACAAGCCGAACAGTAGAGGCGCTAAAGGGCAGCCCTGCCCGAGTGAGCGAGTCAAATTGAAGGGGCGAGATAGGTGCCCGTTGACTGAATCCGAAGATGTGGCAAGGGTGTACATTGCAACAATCCACCTGCTAAACCCCTGGCCAAAGCCTAATTTTCGCAACGTAGTTAGGACAAAAGGCCAGCCCACCCTGTCGTACGCCTTCTCCAGATCTAGCAGCAAGATGGCGATATTGCTGTTCTCCGCCTTTACTACCTCCAGAGCCTCTATCGCCGTCAGGATGTTGAAAAATATGGACCTGCCTTGGACAAAAGCACCCTGGTCATTTTCCACTAGCCTCGGTAGAATTCTCCCTAACCGTATAGCCAACGTCTTCGCTAGGATCTTGAAATCCACGTTCAAGACTGAAATAGGCCCGTAGTTCCGAACATTAGCCTTATCCCCCTTCTTGAACATAAGCGAAATGACACCATGCGTCATTACTTCCCCCAACCGACCGCCCGTCAGCACCTCGTTAAACACTTCCACCAGGACTGGGCCCAACGCATCCCAGCAGGTTCTATAGAATTCGACAGTCAGACCGTCAATCCCCGGGCACTTTCCCGATGCCATCTCCTTCACTGTCTAACTCAGCTCCTCCACTGTTACCGGACGGTCCAATGCTAGTCTCTCCTCATTGGTTAGAAGAACCTCTGTGTCGTTCCACATATCTGACTCCTGAGATAAATCTGAGGATGTTGTGCTGAAGCCCTTTCGTGATGTCAGGATATCAGCGTAGTACAGGCGTGCATATTCCAACATATCACCCGCCGTCTCGACATCGGGTAGAGCGGTATCGAACGGGTGTTTCAGCTCAACCACATGTTGAAACGAGCTGCTCGGTAAAAGTCTCCTGAAAGTCTCCTTCGTGAGACGGTCCTGAACCACAATTCCTTTGATGCTGAGGAACTCTTCCCAGGCAGCCTGTTTCGAAGCCTGCAGGCCCTCCCATTCTGCCATTCTCCGCTCCCTTTCTGCTGCCCAGACCAGTTTTGAGATCGGGTGGGCTTCCAATCTCCTTTCCGCTTCCTCCACCCTCTTTCTGCACTTCTCATCCTCTGCATTTCTTCCCTTGGCCAGGATCCTTGAACTGATGCTCATCATGCCAGATATGATCGCCAGCCCACCATCAAACCACTCAGCTGTAGATGGAAAGAACTGCCTTGCTGAATTCCAGGATTCCATGTGCTCTTCTACCCACCGTTTCAGCCCGGGATCCTTGAGATTTAAAGAGTTTAGCTTGAAATAGCCTCTACCCCGAACCACAGCTGGAGAGAGGACTACTTTAGCCAGCACCGGGCGGTGGTCCGACATCGGGTGCATCACAGTTTTGATCGTTGTTATGCCCTGAGACAGCGCAGTGGTGGTAAGGAAGTAATCCAACCGCCTGCGAGTCACATCACCCCTATCCCGTCTGATGTTGGAAAACCATATGAACCTGGGATCAGCAGGATTCAACGAGCGAAAAGGGTCTGTCAGGGCTATCTCCTGCATAAGATCCAACAGAGCTTTTGCATCCCCCCTACCAGCAGTGCGAGACCCCTCCGTCAAGGCTTCATCCAACGATACATTACAGTCTCCTGTAATGACTAACCGTTCTGCTTTCGGTATGACAGGCAGAAGCGTCCTGAAGAATGAGGTCCTCGAGGCAGGGTCAGCTGGCGCGTATACTGTCATCAAGACCCATTCAGTGTTACCGGATTGTAGTTTGAACCATGCGCAGCGGCCCCATATATCTGACTCAGAGTCTACAACATGTGATTGTAAGGACCGATGTAGGAGGATGCCCACGCCACCGCTCGTCCCTTGGGCCGGTGACCAGACCTGTGGGCCATCCCACCAGCCAGCCCCTAGCCTCAACTTTTCCTCGTCTAGCTTCGTTTCCTGCAAACAAAGAATGTCAACTTGGTTGTGGAAGACCCAAGCTTTAATCCTGCTTTTCTTCATCCTCCCCGATGAATCCCCCAAGCCCCGGACGTTCCACGTGACCACGGACAGCTTAACCATGGAGAGCAGCTGCTTCCGCTTCTAATTGGACCCGGGAAGAATCAATGTCTGCCTCTGACGCCCATCTTCTGTGTACCTCCAGTGGTGAGCGTGCCATCGAGCTGTGTTTGGATGAGCCTCCTGACTGGGCTGATTGCGAACCCGCAGACCATTGGGCTGCAAGGGAATCGATCAAAAAACTGGAGTGGAGGTTGACTTCCACCGACAGATTTTGGTTGAGCTCTAACAGGATCAGAGCGGAGATGCCAGCAACTACTGAGATGGTTTCTAACTCTGGTCTATTCCTCTCTCTCACCCCATCCAACTGGAACCATCTAACGCCGTTTGCTGCCAAGGCATCTGCTGTGCCTGTATCAATTCTCGCATCTAGAATCGGAAAATAAAATTTTAAAACCTTGTCATCGAAAAGGACCACTAAATTGATCATAAGAGACTTCGGGAGTATCCTGACGGGGAAGGAGTCCCCATACAACATCTTTGTATGAGTGATGATCTCCTTCGGGTTTGGGGAACTATCCGTGTCTGCAGAGGGGACGTAGGGAAGGCCATCAGCTTGTGACCTACCTAGGAAGATGGCTCCTGCGCTGGTAATCGAGCAGACTAATGGTACTACCTTCCTAATCAGATTGTCCCGTTGCTCCCTCCTAATAGTAGCGGCCCTAGTGCCTCTGTCTTGTCTGAGCGCTGAGGAACCTCTACCCCTCCTTGTGCCTGATGAACTTCCCGTGGACGATTCGGATCCCTCCGTTCGTAATACTCCCTCCTGCATTCCTGGGAGGACATCTCCAACCAACTCGCTACCCATCTGCACTTTCGATGCAGATGACGCAGGTGATGACGGAACCTGACTCCCATGGGGGCCCCGACACTGCCGCGAGTGTCCTCTCTCATCGTAGTACCCTTGCACACTCTCTTGTTGTCCCCTCTGGTCTCCTGCCACCTCCTGCAAGTACCCCTGTCTATGATCAAGGCGGAGCCTCGAAGGACCATGTCTGTGGGCGGAGTGTTCCCCTCTGGATGGAGCTCCCGATAACTGTCGCGATCCACCTCCTCCTCCCCCTTGACCGAAATGAGGGGCACCATACTCCATGCCATGGGATTGATAGTGGTGAAGGGGAGGGATACCATAGAGTGGAGGGGGGGCATAGATACTCCTAGTACCTTGGGGATAGAGACTGGGGTTGGGGTTGTGTTGCTGCACGGGGTGGAAGTTATAATCATAGTGGCCCAGGTGATGTCCAGGTGTTCCCTGCCATTGAGAGGGGGGCAGTGCTGAAGGATTATGCGAAGACCACCCGTCCAGATTATTCCAGCCAGGCATCAAGGAGCGATCTAGAGGAGGGGGGAGAAGGTGATTAGCAGCCTGGGGCACGTGCAACTGATTGTGGGGGGCCGGAGAGAAAGTGGGATTCGCTTGGATATGTGGGTACTGGGCAAGGACACTTTGATCTAGAGTCTGCGCGGCCTGCCACTCCGGCAATGCTGACGTGGCAACCCCTTGTGACGGGCGGGCAGTCTCCCGATCTCCGATTACCCCCGAGCCCCTCAATGCCTGCGATGCTTGAGGACATGAATCTGGCCTCACCTCCGTAGTCAATGGGTGATCAGACCCCCTCTGGACTGTTGAAGCTGGATCTCGTTGCTGAGGTTGATTGGCATCGCGATGCTGCACCTGATTGGAGTTCCATTGTCTCCTCGGACCTCTATCTGGTCCCTGACGAGGGCAATTATCCTCCGTATGGAAGTACCATCGACACTTCCTGCACCAATCAGAGTACGGAGTGGCCACTTCCACCTTCCACCATTCGCCCTTCGGGGATTCGATGATAAGAGTGTCTTCGACTCTGAACCGGGCCTGAGATTCCATGGCAATTTTTACGTTCATTAACTTAGGCCTAGAACTGTCAGCTTCAGGCGCGTGCATCTGTTTAACAACCCCAATTAAACCCTCCACCGCACTAGGTAAGTAGTACATAGCGTCCAGTGGCACCCTAAGTGCAACGATCCAGAAGTTCGATTCCGCATCTCGCAGTCTGAGCTCCTTCAACTCTGATTTGGTCATCCAAGGCTTGAAGGTCACAGGATAGTCCTTGCCCGCCAGCTTTAGCACGGAGGATTGTTTCTGAACGAGCCATGAGGCCACCTCCCTTGCCTTCGCCACATAGGAAACGACGTTCGGACCTTCAAACTTTACACGCCCTCTCCTGATCTCAGCATTGAACAGACGTCTCGCCAGCCAACCGTCCTCGAAGGATCGGATCAAATCCTCTTTTACTCCCCGAGTCAAGTTCCTGGCCTCATCTTGGAAAATGATAATCACAGTCCTTTCTTTCAACCATTTCTCTTTAATCGCATCCAGCGATTCATTTACCCTGAACCTCCTCCCCCTCTCATCCTCAACCACCTCCCCCATGTTTCGTTCGACCGAAAACACCCCCTCATCATAGCAACGTCCAATGGATTGTCTAACCCTATCCTCCATATCCCATAAATTCGCTGGAGGGGGCGAAGCCTTCCCTCCCCTCTCTCCCTCTTCCTCCATCTTTGCCAAGTCTCAGGTGAAATTCGAGGCAAACAAGTCGGATTAGGTGAATACCGCTCCTTGGCAGCTATCTCAAATAGAAAAAACACACACCTTGCACGCATACACTCCAACAACAGACGAGGACGTTGTCTTACTGGTGTGGTAGGGCTACTTCTCAGACATAGGCATTACCGACTAGCGGTGTTCACGATGTGTGAGTGGAGCCATGCCCTCGTGCCTCGTCAGCGATAGCGAGGTGAACGAGGAAGCAGCGGCGCGGCGAACCTGTGAAAATTCCTCTAAACTCCATTACTCGGAAGCCGGCCGGCACCTACGCAGGAACGGAGCGCTAGAGCGCTAACCCGTCCAATCGCGGTGCCCCCAACCGTCACGACGCTACCCCATGCGCCCCCCTCTCGACATCCGTTCGTCTATCTAAGCCCAATCACACCGTAGCACACCCAGAATGGCTTCTGTTATAGCCCTGCGAGTCCCAACGAGTTCGGTTGAAAGAGTAAGACGGTGACAGGGCAGTGGCTCACGCGCTAGGGGCGGCGAGTTCAATGACAAGGAGAAAGAAGAGAACGAGCAAACCCCTGCGCTATCCCGACTGCGTGAGGAAGGAGAACTAAGATGGAAGAAGGAACATAGAGCAGTCGCAGCCGTAGCGGACCCCGACACTCCCCTATGCGCCTTCCCTTCGGCCCCGATCTCCCTTCATATGCTTTATCACTTAGTAGCACACCAAGCTTGGGTTTCGATTTCGCCCATTACCACGCTGCTAGATCGATCCGAGCTGACAGAGTGCCATGGCAGCAGGGCAGCGGCTGATGCGCGAAGACCAGGAATCATGTGATCTGGACGAGTGCCCCGAGACAGGGCAGCGGCTTCATAAGTGAGGGGCAGCGAGATCGATGTCTAGGAAACGGAGCAAACCTTCAGCACAACCCCGATTGCTCTAAGAAGGAGAATCAACCGTCCGCTGTTGTCCAGCCATCCGGGACCCGCCTTTAGATGAGAATCGTGAGGGCTCAGCTCATCCCATAGCTCTAGCTCATCCGCGCGATGGATAGAGTACCACTTGGTGGTCGGATGATGCCCGCTACTGATGAGCAATCCTAGGAGCCCTTGTGTCGGGAACAAGACAACCAAACTCTGATCCCTTTGTTATTTCGCCGCCGCTGCCACTGCAACCACCCGTTGTTCGCTTCAAAAGCCCACGGAGGAAATGCAAACCATCCTCCTCCCCACCGCAGATAATGGAGGACTAAAGACCCTGTCGGCCGGACTAACAGCGACTTCCACTGCTCTTACTTGTGCCACTCTGCCCGCCATTGCTGAGGACGACTAAGAAGGTGCAAACAGCAACGCGGGAGATAGAAACCGCGGGCCGGGACGGGGCGGTATAGATTGGCAAGCACCACACTGAAACCAACCACTCTGATGCCTACCTGGCAGGGACTCCAACCAATCACGACCCGCACCGCGACGCTCCCAGTCAATGCTGATGTCGAGGATGAACACGCTGATGTCGAAGAAGCAGATCCGCCCTAAGCGCACCACCCTGATAACAAACACTCTGATGCCGGACTCGCTCCGATTCCTTACGCCCATCGGTGATAAAGTTAATAAATCTTTCCCCACGTTACTACCCTGCCTATCTAGGACTACCTCTAGGCACGATCCGCAGCGCGGAACTCACGTAGGGTGAGTGTGCACGTGCGATCACTTCCCGTCAGCGATGGCGGAGGAAGCGAGGAGGTAGCAGCGCGGCGACTGAGGAAGAAGAACCATTCGGCACGCAGGCGCCGGCCGACGCCGGTTCGGAATGGAGTGCTCCATAGTGCAGAACCCGTCCGTGCACGGCGCTCCCCCTGTTTTTTTTTTTTTTTTTTTTTTTTTTTTTTTTTCAGTCCCTTTTTTAAGAACGCAGAGGCCGCCTGTAGCACTGTTTGTGCCAACCAACTGAGATAGTCAGCTGGATCCTCCCAGTCGGTATCCGTAAGGTCTTCAGCCAACACGGGTGTGAGTGCGAGTGTGAGTGGGTTGAGTGTGGTGTGTGGGAGAGTGTTGGCTTTAGACACTACTGTTACTCGATGGGGGTGGGGGAACTTCAAGATGAATAGGGAGGCACAGTTACCGGCAAAATGCTCGGTCCTTGTGCAAAATGCTCGGTCTTTGTGTTAGCCGGGCCCCCCGGCGGCCCCAACCCTGCACCCTAAAACGCTAGGGCAAGGGGCAAACATGCCCTTACCCCTCTCCAACAACCTAGAGAGGTAACCTCCCTTCACCGAAGAGAGGTAGAAAGCTATGCTTGCAGGGGTCCCCTGTATAGCCTTAGGAGTAGTGGTAGGTCGTGAAAGAAAAAAGACATGTTCCATGACATGGCAGAGCGCCAGTTAAAAGAAAGATATGTGAGGTGAGAGAAAAATATATGGCTGTCCCCCGATGATGAGAAGGCAGCTTTTAAAAAAAATAAAAAATAAAAAAATAAACAGGAGAATAAACAGGAAAAAAATAACTCCCAAACTGTAGGGCCTGGCTCCACTGCTCGACATTCTACATGCATTTGGATGCCTTTCTGGAGCAGGTGCATTCCGAGGAGGCCAACTTTTTGAATGTACGGGGACGATTATGAGCTCTAGATACATGTAAATTGTTGTGTAGTGAAGGGAGGCCCTTAGACATTAAAAACTCTACGACCCTGATCCGTGGTCCATCGGGCCACATTGAAAAAAAAAAAAGAAGCAAATTCCAAATTCCAAGCCACATTGAAGAACAAGCAAGCTCTGAGTGCCTTACCCCACTACTCACAAAATGTGCAAAATGAGAGTGAATCTTCCCCTAGAACATGGGAAGATACAAGTCAGCTCTACCCCCTTAGGACAGGATAATGAGAGCAAGTGGCCTGTGGCTCAGTGGTTAGGGCACGGGTTGTCAATGCACATTGTGGTCTGAGGTTGTGGGTTCAAAACTCCACATCTCTGTGCAAAGACACCGNTTTTTTTTTTTTTTTTTTTTTTTTCTCCCCTCGTTTTCCATTCACTCTCGTTTTGCACATCCAATTCTCTTGACTGCATTCTTAGCAGCACACAGGGGCCAAGTCCCACTAGCATCTATTAAATCGGTGTGTGGCGTTCTTTTCTCATTTAAAAACTCGTAAACAATGCTTTTTATCATTTACACGAATGCAAAGAAAAGGACCCAAAAAACGAAAACTTACGGGGCCTGACATCGACATCATGACAGAGCTTCAGTGCATCCACACTTCCACCAACCCGGTACATCTGCATGCGACCTTCCCACCGGCCTTTTCGCAGTCTACCATGGAAATCTCAATATTCTCAATTTTACCACATAAAAAAAGAAAACAACATCGATGCAAAAACGCCCCCCCCCTCCGACCTCCCTAATATTGCAGCTTCGCGCCAACGCGAAGTGGCTAGCTAAATGGGCAAAAAAATGAAAAGGAAACTCTTCTATTGGCCGGCGGACAGATACCCTAACGAAATAGGTCCTTATCGCCCTGCGCCGACGATACACAAAAGGATCAAAGGTCGCCGGATGTCACCTCGCGCCGCACGTGGTTGAAAACCATGGAGCCAAAGAGTAAATCGACGCTAGTGGGACGAGGCCCCAGGACAGCACAGAGGTTAAAAAAAAAAAAGGACAGAGGCTCGGTACAACGAGCCGAAAAATCACAAGCTGTTCATCATTTTCATCAGAAAAAGAACATGATGTGGCCGCCTTTCTGTTTTGTTTTTTTCTTTCTGAGTTTTTTTTTTTTTTTTTTTGAAGGGCCCAGAGCTCATGGCAAAATACAATGAAGATAGTACTTAAATGATGTGAAATCACATTACATTGTCAACAATTTGTCAAGGGACGCCAGGCCAATTTCCCGGCTTGTATAATGAAGTTGGTTCCCCCCCCCCCCAAAAAAAAAAGGGAGAAAATCCCAGGGGTTGCAAGGAATCACTCCCTCAACCTCAGGCTGAGCTTCTCCCCCTCTAGTGATCCATCAGTACACAGTACATCCGAGCATACTGCATGCCAATCTCGGCTGAACCATCAGCAGCCCACTTTTTTTTCTCTCTTTTGGCTGGTGCCAGTGCCACGCCACCAGCCATTGTGGCCCGGTAGTGCCAAGCCTGTGAAATGTTAGGAGTGAGCCATGCTTGAAGTTGGCTGGGGTCCTGTACTTTTTTTATTTTTTATTATTTTTTATTTTTATTTTAAACAGACCCACCAGTGCTAGCAATGCTGTTTAACGCAGACATTGCTAGCACCTGGGGAGAGGCTCCATCTATTGGTGGGGAGCATCACCTGCTGGAAAACGGGTCCAGCGTCCCATACAGAAATTGATACAGAATGATGCAGAATGATGCATAGAAAAAACTGGATGGTGTCTAGAGGATTCCTGCCAGCATTGATTGCTCTGGGAACCAGAGGATCGACTGAGCAGGTGTGAGCCTATCCCAAAACCTGGAACCAAGAGCTGATGGTCCGCATCTCCTTCCCCAACCTCGTGCCTGATCAGGGTACCGGGAGGGGCCACTGGGGGGCACCAGTGGCTATCCCTACCCCTGCCTTTCGGCACTGACCTCCGTCGGTCCTACCCTTTTTTTTTTTTGGAAGACATGAGAGAGTGATTTTTTAGAACCACAATCCAGAGAACATCTGCCAGTCATGACTGCTCTGGGTTCGGCCGTGTAAGGCCAACAAGATTGTTTTTTTTGGTTTTCTGTCCCTTCCGAACAATGCTCCAATCTATTGGAGGGGAGCTGTAAGGAATGAAAAAGACCAAAGAAAACTATGAGAAATCTTCATTTGCTATCTCACACTACTTTCCCAGAGTCTTGCCGGGGAAAAATCCCCAAATTTAAAATTTAAACTCAAATACCCGCCATTCCCAGCGATAGAAACCAGCTTGGGACAGGCAGCTCAATGTCTCCCAAACCGGGGGTGAGGTCCCACTAGCAAAGAGTAATCCGATTGGATTAAAGTTCATTAAGCCACCAGTACTTGGCCCAGCTATGGGCGACCACGGAAAAAAAAAGAGTAGAAACGTTTCTAGTCGGATGAATTTGGGCGCTTCTGTAGTGACCCACAACTCGAGGAAGTACTGGTGGTTTAAGCGCCTGAATGTGGATGCATTGTGTTTTCTTGCAGGGATGCAGAAAAGCAGATCAGTAACGATTTTTTTTTTTTTTTTTTTTTTTTTTGAGACCCATCAACTGGGGCACACGGGCCGCACACCTACTACAAACAGGGATAAGAGCCCAATGGCATGCTTGTAGTAGGGACTCTGGAGGTTGAT